GATCGTATACATGCTTCAATCGGAAAGTATGTTGTTAAGTTTTTTAGGAACAAGATACAGGAACTTCGCTTATATCGTATGAGCTATTTTGTTGTCGGACCAAATAATTTGAAGTTGAGGACTACGACACACAACTTGAGGCTGACATTTACACAAAAGACATTTGTTGAGGAAACAACTGATCCTGGATTTCATATGAACATCTTTAACTTGCGTCCTTTTGACCAACTAACAAATCAATATGATGTCGATGAGACAGAATTATTCGGTAAGTCTTTCTTTTCCTTTTTATTTAAATGGTAGGTTTTGTAAAACTATGTTACTAACTATTATATTTATAGATGTTATTGGCCAGGTTGTGACCTATGAAGATGTTAAGACCTACAAACAAGGAGACGACCAAAGTGTCTTTATTAATGTTGTACTCGAGGATGATCAGTAAGTCATTCGCAAATAAAAATAATACTTTACAATAAAACTACATATATTGTTGTTGATTAAGTTTTACCATAAAACGTATAGGAGGAACAGGATTTTGGCAACCTTATAGAGTGAACTTGTGGATCAAATTCAACATCACTTGACTGAATCTATAGATGAACCTTTGATTGTTGTTTTCCAACATATGAAAGCTCAAAAATTTCGAGGGTTTACCATTAATTACATGTATTTTTCAATTTTAGTTTATAAATATTATATAATTTCAGATTTATAATTATAGTAAATCTGATACACAGGTAATTACTCAGTGCGTAGCTGTTAGTATCAGACAAAGATATGGATTAATCCTACGCTGCCGCAATCAACTGAGTTTAAATCCAGGTTTGTCAAGTGTACAATCCTTTTCTATATGTACAAAAAATATAAAAACAGTATTGACAAATAACAATTTTCGACTTATGCAGATTCCTGGCAGTACGTCAATCAAACTTTGAGCGGATCACTTAGACAAGTTCACAGCAAAGTTACTCTGTTAGAGATGAGTTAGACAAAGGAATTATACTGTTTAAAATTATTAGGGATTTAGTTCAGTGTACGTAGGTGAGTTTAATTTAGTGTTACAATTTTATTTACCTTATGTTTTCTGTGTTGCATTTACAATGACAAAGGAATTGTACTGTTTAAATAATTATTTAGTTAAGTGCATGCAAATGAGTTTAATTTACTATAATATTATATGTACCTTATGTTTTGTTTTGCATTTACAATAATTTTTTCTTTATCTTAAATAGGATTGTAGCTATTGGATTGCGGCAAAATTGGTGAATTTGGAACTTGACCAAGGATGGTCATACTTGGCATGCAACAAGTGTACTAGAAAGGTTGACAAAGTTGGTACTACATAC